GACACATGCACAACAAGGAAAAGAGATGTGGAGGTTAAATCTTCTTGTACTTCTGTCTCTTATCTCTTCTAATACACTTAAGTTCTTTTGTGCCTCTCTAATCTGATTGAGAATGCCTAATTCCTCTGCAACCTGTGCAGCCACATTCCCAGCCAAGTACTGAGGGCAAAATGTTTAATATATTATATTATATATGTAATAATATATTAATATATTATATTATAAATATAATATAATAAGTTTAATATATTATATTATAAATATAATATATGTATATTTCTTTAGTAAATTGTGTGACTTCTTCCCTATCTTCTCCTTCCCTTATCCTGTAATGAGTTTTGGCCCTGGAGCTGAAGTTTGGATGGTTCAATTTACTAACCAATTCTTGCTCTAAGGAAGATATGGTCAAGTTATCATAGTACTTGACGTAGCCTTGTGCAAATGTTCCCTGTTACGTACATTGAATAATTCAGGGCCAGAGCCGTTAAACATACTGATAATTCCAGAGAGGTCTAAATGTATTTGTACCTATTCCCAATCTGTGTGGTTTATTATATTTCGTGTGGTTCATGTTTTAATGTTTTGTCGTGTTATATTTTATTTTCAGTATTATTTGGCTGCTATCTGCTTATTTTTTTTTCAAATACCAGAATTTAGCCTGAAAAGTTTCACATTAGACTTTAGCAGACACCTTTGAAAAGAAAATGCATGGCAATTGGAACATAGCCAGCAGAAACCATTTTTCCTTCGTATGCATTGGTATATACATTAGTGAATACAATTTGCATACCCTTATGGCCCTCTCCACTATGAATATAAGCACATATACATTGTGTTCTCAGACAGAATGACAAACTCCATATCCATTGGGTTGAGGCAGTTGCAGATTATATTACTGTAGTAATAATATCATTACTGTATTTTCCGTCGTATAAGATGCCTTTTTAACACATGAAAATCTTCTCAAAAGTCGGGGGTCGTTTTATATGCTGGGTGTCATTCTCCTGTAACCAGGCAGACCAGCCCAAAAGGCTCTGACGAGCCTTAAATGGCTCTGGCGATCCAAGCTCTGACGATTCCAGCTTTGCCTGCTAATCAGGCAACTCAGCTGGAATCGCCAGAGCCAATGTAAAGGGAAAAAAGTTTTTTCCTTTCACATGACTCTGGTGATCCAAGCTCTGGCGATCCCAGCTGCGTTGCCTGCTAATCAGGCAACGCAGCTGGGATCACCAGAGCCATGTAAAAGGAAAAAACTTTTTTTCTTTCACATGGCTCTGGCGATCCAAGCTCTGATGATCCCAGCTGAGTTGCCTGCTAATCAGGCAATGCAGTTGGGATCGCCAGAGCCATGTAAAAGGAAAAAAGTTTTCCCCTTCCAGCTTGCTTACCTTAGCTGCTAGTCGCAACGCTTGCCTTGCTTCGCTTGCCTGAATCAGTTCCACCAGCAAGCCACTCCCTGCCTGCAATCAAGCAGGCAGGGAGTTGTGGACTTCAACTTCCAGAATTCCTCTGCCAGCAAAACAAAGCTGGCTGAGGAATTCTGGGAGTTGAAGTCTACAAGTCTTAAAGTTGCCAAGGTTGGAGACCCCTGTTCTATTGGGTAAGTTTTTTCCCCCTTTGGAAGCTTTAAAAAAATAGTTAATTGGGGGTTTTTTTAGTTGTTCTTTTTTAGACCTAGCCATTTAAAGTTTAGGAAGTTTTAAATTTAGTTTTCATATAAAAATAAAAATAGAATAAAATAAAATAATATTTGTGCAGCTTTCTGAGATTTAGTGTGTTTCTGTAGTGTTTCACTCTAACTACACAAACACACAAAATCTCACAAAGCTGTATGTGGAATTTTGTGTGTGTAAAGTGTGAAAGTTGTTTTTTTGGGCTTTTTGTGGCTGTGTGAGGTTCTTGCTTGTTGCAGGGGCCATGTTGGGTCTAGCACAGCTGCTTTTACGTTGTGGTTGAGCCAGCTGATGTTTTTTAATTTTTATTTGATGTACGTTGGAAGAGGGGTAGTCTTATACGGCGAGTATAGCCCAAACCCTATATTTTAACAGGAAAAGTCGGGGGTCGTCTTATACGCCGGAAAATATGGTACATTACTGTAGATATATGATACGATATGATATATATATATATATATATATGTATGTATGTATGTATGTATGTATGTATGTATGTATATGTGTATATGTATATGTATATGTATATGTATATGTATATGTATATGTATATGTATATGTATATGTATATATGCATATTCTTTCTAGCCAGGTTTTACCTACATAAACTAAGTTGTTCTACAGCCCTGGTTCTGTGAAATCTCATTCACAAGTTTCTGGGCCTTTTTTTTTCTGCTGACAAACTGCAACTCTGTGTTGCTCTGCAGTTTGTCAGCAGAAAAAAAGGCCCAGAAACTTGTGTGGCAGAAATCCAATTTGAAATTGGATGCTATGAAAACCATAATAATAAATATCCCCCCCCCCCCGAAAAGTACCATGTGGATTACAGATGTAGTATTTTTGGAATTCAGAAACAGCCAAAGGTTTCACCATTTGTATGCTATGCAAATGTGTTAAAAATTAAACTACTTTTTGGATGAATCTGCATTGATAAGATGAATTTTATCATTCATAATGTAAAGACATATGATGATGTTCATCTGTGTGATCAGTGTAAAACTAAGAAACAAAAAGATTAAAGATAATATCTAATAGCATAGGGTTAAATATCAGTTCATTGATTATATGCAGTTATAAATCTCTTCCCCAGTCAACCAAATGATGCTAGTGAAATATTCCTGGTGTTTGGATGGGCATAAGTAGGTTTTGTCTAAGCTCAAGCAGAAATGGTGTAGGGTCTCCTGCTTGGGTGGGGGGTTAGACTAGATGACCTACAAGGTCCCTTCCAACTCTGTTAATCTGTTAAGCAGGTTACAGTGGCTAATCCAGAGACATTCTCTTAGTTCTGTGTGGTGTTGCACTCTCTCAGACAGAATTGGTACACCATTTGGATCTTCACTTGGACTCCAAGTTCCTGCTTGCGAAGGAGATATGATCAAAAAGAGTCTTTGCTTAACTTATAAAAAGGGTCTTTTGATAAGCCAAAACAGTGTTTGTATAACTCTTCCCATTCCTTGGTTCAGGAGGTGCTGCTCGTGGTTATTCATGTTTTTGTCACTTTCCCCTTTAACTATTGCAATGTATTCTACCATCCTTGAAGATCATCTAGAATCTGTGCTTGGTCCAGAATGCAGAATAGGTAGTTATGGATGCATCCATGTAACATCAGAGCTGCATTGGCTTCTTATAGGTTTCCAGGTATAACACAAGTTTCTGGTCACTAGAAAATTCTTCATAGCACAGGGTGAGCAAAAGGACTGTTTGATTATATCTACCTCAATCATGACGTCTAACCAAGAAAGCATATATTGGGTTTCTTTATTAATCTAAATCTAACATCTTCTAATGGACCCAGAAGGCATGCCTTTACTGATAAAGCATCTGCCCTTTGGAATAACAGTCATTTTTTAATTTCACTTCCCAAGATTTAAATGGCCCTGTTGGTCTTAAATAAGACTTTAAAATTTGGTTTTTATCCACTGGATCATTGAATTCACTGGATCAGGATATTAGTAATCCCATTTAATTATTAATTTGTGTTGTTGAAGATATTGATCTCAATTTGTGCTGTTATATGTTTTGCTTTTAGGTTTTTGTGGAGTTTTGGAGAGGTTATGAAGTTTTAATTTTATGCTGGCCACTCAGAGTTGCAGGCTGGGAAGCCATATATATTGCATAAACAACCAAACAAAGTATTAATGTCCTGATTTGGACCTCCAATGCATCCAGATTTAAATAGAGAAAATATAGTAAAAAGCATGGATGTCCAACCTTTTGCCTTGCCTGAGCCTCATTGTGATTTGAAGGTTGCAATTTTTCAGTAATATTTATGAAGGTTAATTGCTTCTCCTTTTTACAAACTGTAGATTACCCAAGAATCAGACTGGTGTTCTGGGAATTGGGTCAATAACTATTGGTGTCCTCTTCATCATGCCCAAATATTTTTTCCGCTTAAGGCAAAAGCCAAGATGGCACCATCCACGACCAGCTCTGTTTTCCAAATCAATGCCATTGTCTGCTCTCCTGTATTTGCTGCTTGAGATGGTTGCTTCATTGTGCCTAATGGTTGGGCCAGGTTGCCATGGATATTAGTGAACAACTGATACAAAAGAAAAACAATTCTATTGATTTAGAAAGACAGGAAGAGATAACGTTTAAGGTGTGTTATATGTTTTTATCTCTAATTTGGAAGAGGAAGTGAAAAAATACCGGTAATATATATTCATTAATATTCAGTGAAAGAAAACCTAAAACAGTTTTACCCAATTTTAGAGTTAATTAATAATGCAATCTTAAATCTTTTTTTCTTATTGGGCTGATTATTTGAAAACTATATTTAGATTAATTGAAATATATACAGAAATTAATGGAAATAAAACAGTATTACTGAATGGGAAAAATAAATTTGTTTTTTTTTAGATTATCACAAGTATATTATCAAAGATAATTTGCCATACTGGGCATTTTTTTGTACAAAAGGAAGATGAAATCTTTTGTCACAATTTTTGCCCTCAGAAATCTGGGTTTTAGAAAGTATTTGCAGGCTAATTTGTTGAGGAAGTTATTTAATTCCTGAGTCACTTCAGGAATAACAACTAAGCTTTGCCTCTGTTTTATATACCAAACTTGGAAGAAACTGTTTTCCCTTTCCAATTAACTGTCAAAGAATTGCAGATGTATACATATATTTTATGCTTTTATCTAAACTTAATCTTAGAAGCCATTTTATGTATATTTGACAGTTAAACTAGGAATATGTTCCCGCTCCCCTTTCTTTGTACTATCGATCTTTCTGCATTTATAATTGCTATTGATGGTAAAGGAATGTCCCTTTCCCCTTTCAGAATCTCATGTAAGATCCTTAAGATCTCGTTCTTTTGCTTGCAGGAGTGCGTTTGGATCGAGTGCGTGGAGGCCGCCAGAAGTACAAAAGAAGACTGGACTCTGAAAGTAGTACTTATCTGAGTTTACAGATTTCCCCTCCGGCCAAAAAACCATGTAGGTGCCAGTTGCACATTCTCTTTATGGATTAAACCTTCAATTATCATTGATCTCCTTAACTTTTCATTGAAAGAATCAAATTCTCAATAATTTTAATTATACAGCAATTAAATAGCATGGCCTAAATAAGGTCATCTGAGGCTATAGTGTGCAAGTCTAAAGCTAAATTGAATGTTATATAGAAAGCATTTCCACTGACACAACCAACATTTTCTTCCACCTTTTCTTTCTGGGTCTCTCAATTTTTCATGGGATAGGTAGCAGAATAAATTTGGGAGATGGGTTGGAATGGGAGGGCAGGGTTGATAGTTTATGAAAAATGGAAAATATTTGTATAAATATAAGGAATACACTATTATTTCCCAGCTCCTGTAGCTGTTTAGTCATCAACCTCCACATAGGTATGATGACCTACCATCACCAATTCTTTTTTTGAGGTGTTTTTTAAAAAAACATGCCAATTTATCAGCTTGTCCATTGCTAATACTCTTTCCCTCAGTCAGCTGATAATAATTTTTGAAGTATTTCATGATAGGACGTAGGGGTAATAATGATATTTAATTCTAGAAGCATTTGGCAAACTACAAAAATAGTTCTAATGCTGACACCAAATGGACATTTAGCTCAATGTTTTCACCTGTATGAGGCACACACTTTAATTATACTCCTTCTTCATCAATATATTTCTTTTATTGCTTGTGAATTAATTATCTAGTACCATAGATTAACATAGCTCTTTTTCTACAATAACTAGACCAGGTTTTGGCAAATTATCTCCCTGCAACCATGCATGGCCCCAAAATTTTCTTTTTTCCACCCAGAACCTCCTCTGATTGTGATTGCTGAAAATCAGTGTGTACATAAACACAAGATTGTGATAAGAGGTCCAGAATAAACTTAATATAATTAAAGTAAACATTTAAAAAACTGCCCATTCTTAAAATTTCAATCCATATATGTTAAAATGATCCAAATCACCATTGGGATCCCTTCTTATCTCCCAGTTCTCTCCCTTCTCGCTTCCAAATTAATGCTATTCCTGACTGCCAAATGTTGCCCATCCCTAATTTAATGGGTCCTCTTAACAATTTCTTGGTTCATCTTGAAATTATATATGTGCAAAAAATATACAGAAAAAAATAAGGCTCCCTTTGTGATAGGGGCGTTGTCCTCATTAGAGAACATTAGAGAATCTATGTTGCTTCTGCAGTGTCTGTAATTAATAGATTCAACAAGATCAGAAGAATTATGTTCTGTGTGTATGAACTAACAGAATCTAATGCACTTCACGTAAAAATTGCTCATATGAATAATTAGAAAAATTTGTAAAGAGAAGTGAGAAATGATTCATTTTTATTTTCATTTGTATTTTCTCCCAGGCACAGGGTTAAAGGTTATTGGCTTTTTTCTTTTCTTTTTTTTGCATCCTCACATTATTTCAGGAGAGTTCCATTTCCTTTATAGAAAATATGCACTAGTATAGGTACCCTTACAAAATTTGTTTCAATATAACACTGATTAGTTACAATATTCAGCATTTTCAGAAATAGAACTTGATTTTTTATATAAGAATCTTAAAGACATCGGTAATTACCTTAAATTTATCAAGAGTTATCCTAAAGTAAGATGGGTGGTTAAAATATTTTATAAGTAAATAAACTTAACATGAGTAAAGATATATGAGGATCAGGAAAGGGTCACAAATTTGGTGGTAGGATATATAGTTTGCCTGCTTAATTTTACAGGTTCAGCATGCTATTTCCATTTTAAAAGGGCCCAATATCAAGTGAAGAATTGTCCAGTGAACTGCTGGGTCAAGATAAAAACTAGTATATTTCTTTTCTTTTCTTTTTTTAAAAATAATTTTTATTCAACATTTACATCTTTAACATCCTTGTTACATTTTTACAGCTTTCCAATACCAGCATCTTTGATAATGTCTATTTTATCTTTTAACCAGCTATATACACATACATTTTATATATTACTTACTAATTTCTATATTCACTACAATTTATACCTATCTATTACACAATAACTATTTCGCTCCTCTATGATATCAACATGGGACATATTTCCACATGTGGTGGACATGTCCCAAAGCAAAGGCATATTAGTTAAAAATTCAAAAATGGTTAGAGGAAATGTCAGGGGGAAAAATTGCTATGAAACCCAAACTATTTTTATTGGGAATTATAAAAGAGAAGATTAGGAAAGAAATTTATTACCTTATACTTCACATAATTATGGCCGCCAGAATTTCATTTGCACAAAATTGGAAACACAGATTTGCTCCATCAAATACGATGATCATAAAAAAGGTGCTAGAATGTGCAGAAGCAGATAAATTAATAATGGAACTAAAAGACCGAGAGGAAACGATTTATTACGAGACATGGAATAGATGGTATAATTGGTTGGAGAAAGAATCCAAAATTAATGTATAAATGTATAAACATAAGAGAAGATATTAGATAAAAAGTACTATATTTCTAATACATTTCAAATAGCGTATCCAAAACAAACAGAAAAACAAAAAAAAGTCTTGCTCTCTCTTTTGTAAAGGTTTTAATTTTTTTAGTTGCAGGAGTTCACCACAAGTATATTCTAATTTCTGCTTTGGGATTTGCAGTGACTAAAATAGTCTCCCACTTACTGGTGGCAGAGCCAGAGAAGATTTATGCTATGCCTGACCCTACCATGCCGGAAAGTGACATCAAAGCATTGACAACGCTCTGTGACTTGGCAGACAGAGAACTTGTTGTGATCATTGGCTGGGCAAAGCACATCCCAGGTAAGAAGGGAGAGCTAAAATAGACACAAAGTGGGGACGAAATTATTCATGTAGGGGAATGGTAAACAGATCTTTGTCTGCTGAATGGCACAGGAGCAATTCACTCTTCTTCAGCATGTCACAAATAACAAAATGTTTCTTTCTGTTGTTGCTTTCAATATGTGGAAGGGGGAACATACATTTTGGACTAAAAAGGAAATCTATGAGTTCCACTTTCCAATGTCACCTGGATGAACAGGAAGTGGAAACAAAACTGTGCAAATATATCTAGTTCATTGGTATTGTGTTGCTTCTGTTTCCTGAGCTAATGCACATAGGGGATACAGGGAAAATCTGTATTCTTTAGCAGACAAAGGTTACAGGAGGACAATTTGTAGCTTCAATATCCTTTTTGCTTGTACTATGATTTCCAGCACAATTATTGATTTATTTGTGTAAATTAATGTATCCATAGCTCCTGGCGATTGCACTATATATTTAACTTTGACCTGAAAAGCTGGAGTAGATAGAGATTTGGAGAAAGAGGTCAGTCTTTAGATACTGCTTCTCAGCAAATCTTAATCCTGGTAGTGCTCTTCTTGAAGGAGACCTGTTCTGTTAGGGATTACACTGCTCACTAGTTGCACAATCTGCCAGGACCTGATTCAGCACAAACCGAGTTAGGCTACTGATTAAGGCAACTCAGCCTGAAGACCCAAGGGCTGAAGAGAATTAATAGAAAGGATAATCATGGGCCAAAGCAGACTATGGCTTCTGTAAAGCTCACACCAATTATTTCATTTTGATATGTTCTTCCTGCCTGAGAATTTCTGAGATCATTTTGTAGTTAACCAGACACTTTGTTGCTCAAATGGAGTTTTAGTTGCAGCAATACCACATTTTTTTAACTGCTGGGATATATACTGTGCATTGTATGTATCCACCTAAAATATATGGAACATTTCCCAGATAATATATTTATTGATTTTCTGGATTCAATGTGGACTGCTGTTGTCTTTCTCTGATCCACAGTTGACTGCATCCTTCTCTATTATTTATTAAAGCAAAGTGCGCCATTTTGTAAAATGCAGTCCATTATTTGGAAATTGACATATAACTTAAACAATTTGTTCCTTGAATAATTGAATCATTTTTGGATTTCATTTTGCATTTGGGGATAAAAATTCTGAACATATAATTCACTTGCTGGTTCTTTGTTATTGGCATAGGCATAGGTGAAATAATAAAGATAATTGTTTTAATGAAATTAGTGAAACTGAATTGGGAAATATGTGGATGGTCATGAGAGGCTATAGGTACATTTGTCTAGTGGCAGATCAGATCAAAGTCTTTAAACAAACATCTACCAACTCAGTGCATCATAACTCCCCCACCCCCCACCGCCCAGCATCTGGAGGAGCTAGAAAAGTGGGGAAGAGTGGGGCTGGTAGGATGGAAGCGATGAAACAAGCATCACAACAACATGATTCAAAACTGTGAGTGACATACTATGTCGGGTGTCAAGTGCATAATAGTAACTTTTTCCTCATGAGTTCACTGCATGTGCATCATCATTTTGATGCCATTGCAGTTTGCTGTAGGCATCCATATTTGTATTGTGATATTTCCAACATGAGATAATACAGTAAGTACTTTATACAACATTTACTTAAATTGTACTTTCATTAACAAAATTTAGCAGTCTGACCTGATTTTTCAATTCAATTATTTGCATTCCCTGTTAATAAAGAATTATATATCCATCAATAATATTTAGTCGAAAGGAAGAGCTCAGCTACGTGTAATACTATATAATTGCACTCATGTGAGATTTTTTTAAACTTGGCATAGTGGAACTTCCCTTTTGTTTGTCAGAACCCTGTGTGTGTATATACAACACACATGTTTTAAGTCTGTATTAATTCCAAAAACCTGCCTCTAGAAGTTCCTTATTCTAGTGCAAACTCCCTGTAGTATCAAACTATGAGAGCAAAAAATTTAAAACTCTCTTTTCTGAATATATCAAAATACTGTATGTATTTATGGGATTTATCAAAAATGATTCAGAATTACAGAATAACAGAGGTGGAAGAAACCTTGGAGGTCTTCTAGTCCAACCCTATACTATACTCCTATAAAAGTATAGGAGACCCTATACTTTTTCAAACCAATGACTGTCCAATCTCATTTTCAAAACCTCCAGTGATGGAGCATCCACAATTTTTGAAGGCAAACCATTCTACTGATTAATTATTCTCACCAACAAAAAATTCTCCTTAATTCTACATTGGATCTCTCTTTGTTAAGCTTTCATTCATTACATCTTGTCCTGTTCTCAGGTGCTTTGGAGAATAGTTTGACTCCCTCCTATCTGTGACAGCCCTTCAAATACTGGAAGACCTATTATCATTTCATCCCTAGTCCTTCCCTTCATTGGACTAGACATTCAATATAGTGTATTGAATAATGACCAAAATTAGATGCAGTATTCCAAATGTGATCTCACTAGTAGAGTACAAAGCAGCAATATCACTTCTCATGATCTTAATACTATCTCTCTGTTAATGCATTAGCTTTTTTGGCAGCTGCAGCACACTGCTGGCTCATACTTAAGTGATTGTAGGCTAGGACTCCTCTCACAATTATTGCTGTTGACCACCAGGTACCACCTATTCTATACCTGTGCATTTGGTCTTTCTTGCTTTACTTTTCTCACCACTGAACTGCATTTCATCCCTTCCATCTATTAATGACTGGAATGTTGCTTCCACTTCCATGATAGGTCTCTGCAAGAAGAAGAAATGTCTGTTGAGATGTTGTGATGAGAGGGGCTCTCCCAAGGTGCCTATTTTGGTGTTACCCTGGCTAAGAAGGTGAAAGCCACACACAGGATGAAATACGGCTAGTGGAATGACAGCAACTGTGTCTATAGCGATCTCAGATGCTATAATTAAATCTCTCTTTATTACAGCTGCTAATGGCCCTCCAGGATGACAGAAATGATAATAAATTAACAGATTATGAATTCAACTTGCTACAAATTATGCGTTTTCTCTCTTTGAAAACTCTGGCTTTCAAATGTTGAAAAAGAATGTAAGGTTATGACTTCATGAACTTAAATACTACAGCTTTAATTGAAGAGTTTTGACTCAAGAGAAGGAGCTCCGGTCCAGAAAAAAACATTAAAAGTTGGTTAGAAAAAAAAATAAACATTTAACCTTGGTGGAATAAGCCAACCTTACAAATCTTTTTTACTTTTAAGAGTGCTAATGTTATTCCTTTTAAGTAACATTCCAGAAGTTTATTTCCAAATAGCAAAGTTATTATTTAAGTTCTTAAACCTATATGAAACTTCTTTAACTGAGGATTAAAGAACATTAGTATAATAAAAGTTGTCCTTCTGTAGATTCTTAATATCCAAAAAGAAATGGTCCAACCTGGTGTGCTTTTGAAGATTTTGAACCACAGCTTGGGCAAAACTGATTTTCCTGGCTCCCAGAGCAAGAGTTTTGAACTCTGTATCTGATTCTGGTCTTTCATTTCAAATAGTTGCATGAGATGCCTTTATTATTTTTTACAAACCAATCATAGTATACACAGATATCTACTGTTTGCTCCTATCTTCCATCTTATTGGTGACATTCTGTCACTGAATATGAAAGCCCTATCTTAGGTGTCTTGTCTAAGACTTATTAATAGATCAAATGTTTCTATCATTTTTAAATGATACCAATTTGTTGTAATTTTCATAAATTTGATTATCCATGCATGAAATCTTTTTCATCATCTTTTCTTTTATATGTCCTGAACTTTAAGCTAACGATTCACCTACAATGATCTTTTTAAAATATAATAAATTAGTCAACTGAATCTTTCTTTCTAATAAAAAATGTTCTAATTTAGAATGCTAATCTTTGAAAAAATAAAGCCCTCAAGTCAAACTTGATTCTTGGTGACTCCATCCATGCATTTTCTGGGCAGTGACATGGAAGTAATTGGCCATTATACAATACCTTTCTTTCTTGTTTTAACTTCCCAATCCAATCTACAAACCTGGAATTTCCTGGCAGTTCTCCATCTAAGTATTGCACTAAGGCTAACATTCTTTAGTTTCTAAACTGCCCAAAAAAATTTTTTTTTTAATTTTCAGATTGACTGTATGAGATGATTTAAGGCATAAAATGATTGCATTTCCAAATGGATTTAGAAAGATATAAACATGGGTTGGAAATTTGAAAGACTTTTGTTTATGGGCAAAAGTACACTTTTTATGCATCAGAAAGTCCAAGTCAATTCAGTTTTCCAAATCAATTCAAAAATTCAAATATGATGTGGGTTGATTTTTCAAAATCAAAACTCCAAATCGAGTTGGTTCAACTTTACAAGTCAGTTTAGGAATATGAATCAGATCAAACCTGATTTGCATTATTGAATATGAATTGCAGTAAAGATTCATATACAGTAAACTCTTGATTCTCCAGACCTCCATTAAGCATACTCTTGGTGCAATACAGTGGTGGGTTGGTCCCGGTTCTGTCCAGTTCTATAGAACTGGTAGTAAAATCAGCAGGAGGCTCTGCCCACATGCCCTGACATCATAAATGACGATCTGCGCATGCGCAGAATCTTCTGCACATGTGGAGAAGAGTCCATGCATGCGCGAGCGAAGCAAGTGCACATGTGTGGCCACATTGCGAACCAGTAGTAAAGGTAAGTAGAACCCACCCCTGGTGCAATAGCAAAAAAATTACTACAGTAGACAATTTACATAATGTACCGTAAGTCATTTGTGTCAGTTAGTGACATTTGTGTAATTATGAAAATCACATGTTTACATCATCCAAATCACTCTTCCTGACACAAATATGCAAATGTCAATTCTGTAATTGGGTAGATGGTATAAATTATGTCAATGATACAAATTTGGATTTAACAGACATTTGGATTTAATGGACATTTCTTTCCACTTAAACAGCCTATTAAGTCAAGATTTTATAAAATGCAACATTGGACATTTGCTTTCAGTTTCTTTTCTTAAATTTAATTATAGTTGTTTTTTTCTTATGGGAATTAAACAAAGTTTCCCGTGTTTTCTCTTCAAATTTTGCATTGGAAAGATGGGAAATGAAATCACTACAGTGGAGTCTCAGAAAAGATGCAATGCATTACAAATTTATTCTTCATTCAATCTTGTATCAAAATAAAATAGCTCACAAATACTTAGTATGTAAAAATACTAAAATCCAACAATAAAAATGAAATAAAGTAATGCCAAAAGAACTTTCATTAAAATGTGGGGAAGGGAAGGCAAAATGAACAAATAAAAATCATTCCTCCACAATAAACTTTCAGTGAAGGCCTGGATAAAGGAATCAGTTTTCAACAGGAGCCTAATAGGCACCTGTTGACTCTCTGAGAGTCATTCAAGAGCACCAGAGAAGAAGTAGAAATTATGAATGCAGTGAGGAATAAACAATGCTTATTTCTTTTTATTGTTAACTAAGGAAAGACTCTCATGTAAAATTCTGTAGAGATTCTCAGCCATCCAGATCATGGTTGTCCCAAAGGTGTTTTTTCAGGAGGCAACTGGACTTTCTTGGTTTTTCTTTGAAGACATTTTGCTTCTCATCCAAGAAGCTTCACCTGAGTAGTGTTCCTGGTTCTTTTTAGCTATACAATTTAGGATGGACACCCTTTGAATGGTGTGGGAGTAGGAATGGATTTCAAGAGAAAAAATTGCAGACTACAGGAACCAGGAGCACTACTCAAGTGACCCTGAGTACACAGATAAACCTAAAGTGCTTCAACGGCCCTCTAAAACGATGCAAATGACCAGCTGTCTGCAAGGAATATAAATCCTTCCATTCCCCACTATCCTGTCAGAACTGAAGAAGCTTCTTGGATGAGAAGCGAAATGTCTTCAAAGAAAAAACAAGAAAGTCCAGTTGCCTCCTGAAAAAGCACCTTTGTCTCATGTAAAATATTTAACAATATTAGTTGAGATGACAAGATTGGGGGAAACATAAATGACAGAACACAGAACTGAACCTGAGAAAGAAGTTTTAACCATCCACTTCAGTTTGAGCTGGAGAATCCTGCAGCCAAAATCTGAAGTTGTATGTACTGTTAAATATAGCAATATTGAGGCAATTCATCAAGGGATGTCTCACAAATTAATGAAAAACAAGCTAGACTGTCTGATGAATATCTTAATGCAAGATCCAAGCACAAAGTGCATAGTTAAAATGTTTAACTGTACCTGTCAAAATGAGAAAAGAACCTGAATTTAAAAATAGATATAATCCTTACCTGGCTGAAGACCTTTTTATATGGTTGGCGCAAAATATCTCATATTAGATTTCATCTTCAGATTTTGAGTTCTTTGATGACTCAGAGTAGATTTAATGTCTTTAATGCGTTAAAGTGATGGGCAATCTTCATGTCTTAATTTTACTGTCGAAATTAGAACTTCTTCTGAAGCATGGACATTAAAATAATCTGTGTACTTTGTATATTGTAATTCTCCAATAAATGTAAAGCTTTAGGAACACAATTTTGTTACTAAGTAAATGTAGTGTAACAGTCAAAAAGCTCCTTTACTCAGCCATGACTGATTGTAGGTGGTTGTTGCTCAGGGATACAGGACAGAGCAAAAGTTGGTGGTCACCAATGCATGGCAGCCCAGTTTGGCCAAGTCAAGCTTTTTTCCACATTTGCCAAACAAAGGTCAAATTTGTAATTCATCTCCAGAGTGCCCCAGATTCCTCTTCAGCTGTCCTCTAATTTCTTCTTGCCCTCTTCCCCAGTGCTTTATTGATCCATACCTCTTACCCGTCAGACTTCATACACGCACATACAACATGTGACAGCTGATTGGTATCTGTTAATTAATGTGGCTTGCGGCCTCTTTTCTATTCAGTGGCCCGATAAGGGAAATTGGATGTCTAAGGACTGCTGTGCCATTATCACCCCTTACCTCCTTTGGCAACACAAATACAAAACAGGGTATAGTGATAAATAAATGCCACTGACCCATCCCTCTGCCCTCTCTTCCTTTAGTTGAGATAGCTGAGATAGAAAAATAGAACTCCCGACCAGTCAATATAGCAATCACTGGCTCTTTTGTTAATTGCCAGGTTGATAGCAAGAGGAATCAAAACATCCTGGCTCCCTTGGTTCCCAAGTGCAGGAAGGCACACACAACTGCATGAGCTGAGGGTTTTTTGGGGGGAATAAAGGCTTCTGGATAAGGATATATCACAGTTAGTGAGACATGCACATCACTAAGTCATATGAAAGAACTCTAAACTAACAGTGAAAGCAGTTAGACTAAAATAAGAAGAGAATAATCTCATAATACACATGGAAAAATTTTAGGCCAAACTGCTCATACTTTTTATTTTTATATACAATTTGCTACCAAGCAATGAAATTGAAGTATCCTTTATAGAAGAAACATGAATGTTTTTTGATTTAACTAAATCTTCACACAAGGCATCCAAATTTTGAACTCTTAGTACATTCTTCCCCAAATTGGTACCTTCAGAAGTGTTAGGAGATACAATTCTAATATTCTGAAAGGCACACATTTTTAACATATTATGAGGTATCTTGGGCATGGCTATAATATTGGGGTATGGCTGCAGTTGCCAATAATGTTTTTATCTTCTGTTTTCCTATCACTAGCAAGGAGGAAAATCTTTTATACAAGGACTCTTGCCTATTCTCAATCATTTTGAAAGAGTATCCCACAAGCAAACATATTCATATTGCAAGAATGAAAATAGAATGATACTCTCTTGAGTATCATTATTATTGTAACATTGTTTTATCTCAGAGTGGAATCATTACTGATACTGGTGTAAATTTCCTAGCACTTTTAAGGATTTTAAATTGGAATATTGAGAAAAAAGTTTATTTTTACACTTCCTTATGTTTTATACCACAAAATCTCCCCGCTTCCTCTCCCACGCTTGCTAGAATGCCTAAATTTATGTTTTCATTTACGGAATAGTTCCTTTTCAAGCTTATTTTTGATTTTTCACAGATCTGCGATTGGAAAGCAGATGAGAGTCTTATTTATGATCACATTTGTTCTCAGTCATTAGACTTAACTGGTTCTGATGGACTTAGTTACAGTTTGTTACTTTTTGTTTGTGTTTTATCTTTTTACTTTGACAGTTAATTCAGTGCACCTGTCTGTAGGGTAGTTCTTTCCCCCCTTGTCCTGAAGATATAGTTATAGTATTTGGGATTCCATAGTCATTTAATGTTTGTTTGTTTATTTATTTAAAATATTTATACAGCTGCCCATCTTTCACCCAACTCTGGGCAGCTCCCAATCAAATCATGTTTGACTTCTTAAAGTTAGATGTTGCTGCTTTGATGAAGTGGCTTACAAAGATATTTTACCCAGTTAAGGTGAGAACTTATATCTTCCAATAAGGCCCACTCTTCTTCTATGAGAAAAATTTCAACTCTTTATTAAAGAGGAGAAATAATGCATGATTCAGTGATGGCTAATATTAAGTCCCTATTTCTTTGAGTCATGGTCAGACCTTTCTCCGTTTGTACATTCTGTATAATAACGTTGCACACATGTACAAAGTATTAGGCTTTGATAGTGCTGTTACAACTACCATTTTGCCCTTTTTAATCCTCCTCATCCCCTCCCAACATTGATACTGCTTTAATACAAGTGGATTTGAAGTAGTGTTTTCTATGATAACATAACTAACTGGTTTCAAAAGGGTGCATTCAAGTATAGTGCATCATCCTTCTCTTTCTCTCCTTTTTATGTTAACACGGCAATGACTAGACTGGAACAAAACATCCCAGAAAAGGCATATTACAAGGCATGCTGGCAAGACTGAAGCACTTAGCTCTTTAAATATTAAAGCAGTTACATTCTCCATAGGGATCAGTGCAGCGATTTGAAGGCTTTCCTCATTGTCTTTACTTGCACGGTTCCACCACTTCAATTTGCTGTTCATTCAGATGAAAATCGGGGCTTTATATGCACACGTATGGAGAGTCATCTAGGAGGGCCTTCTAGCAAAGGCAGCTGCTCCAGCACTTCAGGAATGGTATTTGGTGATGCATCTCTTGGGAATGCTTTGTCCAGTCCTAGGAATAAATGTTCAGATAAATAGGAAGTAGCTTCTTATATGAAGCTGCTTTCCCTTTTGAAAATCTGAATAGGCCTCTGTCTTATTAAAGTACATCTATAGGACTGGCTCAGAGTCAAAACCACTTCACTGAGGAGTTTGTCTATGGACATTTTTTCTGTAACAGCCAAAAAATTCTGCAAGTTGCAATCACAATACAGCAAAGGGCAACCCACTTCGGAAGGTTAGTCTAAGATACACTTTTGCATTTGTTTTGGGGTTCATTTCCTATGTCAAAAGAAAAAAAAAACCCAACCACCATAAAATGAATTGCCTCTGCCAATTTTCTAGGAAGCAGCAACCCGATGCCTTTACTTGGTCAATATTCTTAATCTGTTGTTCCTTTGCCTTGCCAGGATTTTCTAACCTTTCTTTGGGAGACCAGATGAGCTTACTGCAGAGTGCCTGGATGGAAATCCTCATTCTGGGCATTGTGTATCGCTCATTACCGTATGAGGATAAACTGGTCTATGCTGAAGATTACATCATGGATGAGGAACATTCACGTTTGACGGGGCTCTTGGAGCTCTATTTGGCCATCCTGCAGCTGGTGCGGAGGTACAAAAAGCTGAAGGTGGAGAAGGAAGAGTTTGTCACTCTGAAGGCCCTGGCTCTCGCCAATTCAGGTAAAGTCATGGACAAAAGAATCAGCAGCTGGGAATGTGGGGAGATTATTATTTTTTTTTGTAAGAATAAAAAATGATACCTGTGCTTAGAAAGGAGGCATAAGCCCATTGTTACACCTTTGGAAGAAATTGCCCTCCATCTGAATTCAGACTAATAGCTCCCCATCTCCTGACATCTATAAGAAAAAATAATAATAGTTATTGATTTTGTAATTAACAGTTCATCAGAGCTATATTGATAACAGTTCAGCATTGGCTTGCTGGAAATAAATCCCATAATATTGGCTCATTTTTATAATCACTATATATGGTTTTGGGTTTTTTTCCTCTTCCACCAACCTATCATCTTGCAGAGCTTTTGCACTATTTAAATGCACCTGAAAATGATCTGGGTGGGTTAATTATTTTTGGATCTTTTGGCTCAAAGGACACTAAAAGCATAGCATGTTTATATATTTATGACACTAAAGTTACAGAGACCTACCAGCCAATCAGTTATTTTACTTTCTGCCCAAAAGCTGAGCACAATGAGCTATCAGCCAATTACTTTCTTGCTTACCAGCCAGTAAACACATGCCATCTCTCTAAACCTGTTCCTCAGACCCATATCTAAATACAAATCCTTTTCTACTCTATTCAGAAATAAAAGAGAGTAAGTGAGTAGTGTTCTCCCTATTGTCACCATGCTGGTAAAATTCCATTGCCTTCCCAAAATTTAATTCAGACAAAACAATCCAAAAATCTGCATTTTGGACTGTTTTGTCTGCTCATACCAGTGTCCTACTAGGAAAAATTCCCAGAGTTGTGGGCAGAGGTAGAAGAGAAAGCCAATAAAAACCTTCCATGAAATCACAGAATTGGAAGAGGCTATGTACCATTGACTGACTCCTACCCACTAGTCAGTGCAGGAATCCAGATTAAAGCACTCCATGTGAATGGCTATCTAGACTCCATTTGAGCACATCTAATAAAGGGACGTCCACCATCTCTCAAGGTAATTAGTTCGATTATTAAACTGCTTTTATTTTTAGAAAGAGGATTTTTTTTCCTAACATTCTGTTAAAATCTGCCCCCTTGTAACTTAAACCCACTATTTCATGTCTTGCACTCTCAAACAAAAGAAGGCAGGTCAGGGGCTTCTTCTGTATGATACCCTTTCAGGTATTTAAAAAGTGTTATCAAATCCCCCCTCAGCTGCATTTCTTTGTACGAGTTGCAGGAAAAGAGCAATTCAGAAGTGGGTTGACAAAAGCAGAATAAAATGAAAAATAAGTTCCAGTGATTTAGAATTTGTTTTTCAATTGACACAATTATAAATTACATTCTGAGCTTACAATCAACTATTTTTCCAAGATCTTTTTCATATATACAAAGCTACGTATTTCCCATTTCACTCATTTAATGTAAAATAAATGTTTTGACTGATTTTGAGTCTCCCTGATTTGGTAGTCATATAAATTTAATATATTATTAGTGTTTTTGTTACTTTTGTTCCTAATTGCCTTTCTTTTTTGGTACATGTTACCAGCCCACATAATTGCAGCAAGAGCTTTGAAAATAATTCAGTGAGGATTCTTCCAATCCACGCATCGGTATACAAATTAGAAAGCAGAAATATAGACAAACAAACTGATATCTGATTATCAAAAAGCAGGCAAATCCATCCAACGTTTCAAGGCTTCTTAAATTAGCTTTCAGTATTTTCAAGTTGATCTAGAAGGAGAAATCTCTTGAGAATGTAGAATGTTAGTGTAGCACATTAATTAGGTCGGTCTTTGAGCTCATGATATAAAGCTCCAAGTGCTGAAGTTGTTGTTCATTTTGAAATCAAAAAGATTAAATGTAAGAAGAGAGGAATGTATATCTCAGGTATATCAAAAATTATATTCTAATCGCTTTGCTACATAATTTAATGCAAAAATAGATTGATTTAGTAATATGTCTGTTTCTTCCAACATACCTTTTGCATAGATTCTCAAATAGGATACACCTTCCAAAAGCTGTTTCTCTTGGTTCTTCAGATAACTCCCTTCTACCATGGAACATTGTGTTCTGAGATTAAATATGTTCCCTGCCATTTATCTAGACTGATTCCCTCCTTAATTTTGCTTTTCCTCTAAAGATTCAATGCACATAGAGGACATGGAGGCAGTGCAGAAACTACAAGATCTTCTCCATGAAGCCCTTCAGGACTACGAGCTGAGTCAACGTCATGAGGAACCACGACGTGCAGGAAAGCTGCTGCTGACCCTGCCTCTCCTGCGGCAAACAGCTGCCAAAGCTGTGCAGCACTTCTACAGCATCAAACTGCAAGGCAAAGTCCCCATGCACAAACTCTTCCTTGAGATGCTCGAGGCCAAGGTCTGATGTGCCCAGCCCCACCTGGAGAGCCCAGGAAACAAACTGGAAAGAGAAGCAGCCGTGGAGGAAACCAAAAATGGCAGCTGGCTTTTATTTTCAATCATTTACGTGGAGGAATTATTTAACGCTCATCTGGCAGCCTGCCATCTGAAGATTATCATGTACAGAGATGGAAACTCTTTTAATCAAGTTTTTTTTTTTTTTTAAATTGGTGGGAAATTCGCAACTAAGCTCTTGCACTTGCAGAGGGAACCAAGGAAAATTTGGAGTTCTTGAGCAGTGATGCTCTTTGCACTATCTAGGGCAGCTGATTCCTAGCTTTTTCCACCTTCTAATGAAAGGATGTGGAGATCTGAAGCAGGAAATGGTGGGGTTAAAAAAATACAGCATTTATAGCATGGTGGTATGAGAGGATTTTTTTAAAAAATGTGGGCATCAGTAGACCTGGCACTTGATAAAGTGTGTCAAGGCACAGGACTATGTGCCAGTTGCTTCTTTGGAAAGGAGCACCTTCAGTCCAAATTCAAGTTATTTGTAATGTGTACATAGAGGCCTATTTCCTACTGGGAAGAGCAGGTGTGACTGTGTAAGATATTCTGTGATCTTGAGCATCTGGCTTTTCCTATTCTTGTGCAATCAGAACATTCTCAGTGGTAGTTGCTACACAAGCTGGAGATACGATACATTCTGGGGAGAGAAAGGTCTTACAGTTTCAGAGGATGCAGAGAGAACAAGTCCACACCCTGTCGTTTTCCCCCCAAAAAATTTCCAGCACAATTCCTTTCTTCTCCTATATGTGATATTATTTTTAAAACCTCTAATCTCCTCCTTTCTTCAACACCTGGCATGAATCTCAAGACTCAGACTGCTCACAACAATCAAGCCAAAATGATAACGTGTCCTGATAGGGCTTTTGTTCAGCTCTTTCAGCAAATCCTGATATTAGATAGATCCTTTCATGGATTAGGAAAAAATATCTCAAACCTTAATATGGACTCATGTTCCATATTAAGGGAATTACCGGTATATCAAATTCCTTAAGGGAAATGTTTAATACTTATTCTCTTATTCTTTAGCCATTTGTTTGAATCCAATCTAAATAGCTGCGTGTAGGGAAATAAATTATTTTCAGGCTAAGACAAAATCAGCAGTATATGGGGATGGCTTCTATCTCTCTTCCTTTCTATCACAATCCTACTTCCTAGAAAACTGCCATTGGGAGGACAGATAGCTCTTGCCAGAGTTTGGTCACAAGAAAAGCAGAAGTTGTCCAGCCTTAGTTGCAGACCTAACTCTCAGTTCTTATGAATGCCAGGTTAAACTTTGCTGGTATGTTTTCCCTCACCAGGAGAAAGATGGTAGAAGTAGAGCCTCATGGTCATCAAAAATTGTCTTCCAAGTTGACCTGGGTCCAGATTATCCCTTTGGGAGATTAGTTGAATTTCATCAAATCACCCCCTGGAACCAAAAGCACAGCTAATATCTTTTCTCCTAATTTGTAATATTTCAACAGAAGGCGATCGTATTTGGGTTTGTGTTTTCAGACACCTTTTGAGTGTCAGCAATTAATTACACTCAAAGAGCCAAGGTAACAAAACAAATGAAGTTGGTTTAGAAAAGGAGTTTGACACACACACACACACACACACACACACACACACACACACACACACACACACTAACTATCATATACACACTCCAAAACCCCAATAAAAGCAATAAAAGACATAATTGGGGGGGGGGAGCCTATTGCCAAGTGGATGTTATGCTTCCCATCTTCCCATCTCCTCTCCATAGGCAATGAGAAAAGAGGCTTTAACCTTTGTATTTTTAATTAATCTCTGCTATTTTGAGATTGTAGTCCAAAGGATTTTAAAAAAAAAATAAGATAAAGAGGGGAAAACAAGAGAACACTAAGTTGTGCAAAATGTTCTTCATAAAAAAAGTATTGCTATGCTACCCACTGGCAACTATTTGTGGCCAAAGTCCATTAAAATAGTAGAATCTTGTTATATTGTCCTGGCAGTTTTGTTTGGGGAAGTGTAAACCTCACTTCTAGAGGAATGGCAAAGGATGCGCTGATTCATTTTTACTCTTCAAAGTTTGAAATTTCGTTCCTCTCTTCACATAGGGTGAAAGGAGAGAGAAGTTCTTTCCACGTAATTCCAGTGTGTTCCCTTACTGCTTCTATTGTCCTAACAACAGTTTTTCTCCAAGACAGTAATCATTGGTGGAAGAAAAAACAGGCTACCTGTTCCTCATATAGAAGTTCCCAGGTATATCCTTTGGTGCCTCTGTTTGCAGATGTGAAAATCCACTGAAGGAGATTTTTGAGAGCCACTGCCAAAGATTAGATGCTGGGTCAGCTGGAGCAATAGTCTGATTTCATAAGATAATTTCTTTATTCATGACCTAATGTTACAGGCACGGTTTAAATTTCAGTTGAGAGGTATATTTCAAAGGCATGTCCAAGAAGTATTCCTCCTTGTCACTTAGAGAAAATAATAATAATAAAAAAATCAAACAGGAAGGAGGAAGATCAATGTAGAAACTATTATTGCTTGTTCCTGCACTGATGAAACTATGATTTGCTTCACAAATTTTTTAAGCCACAATTTCCTTCATCATTCTATCTTGAGTAAGTCTGAGTTTAAATCATATGGCATTTTTAAGGCAAAACCAGACAAGTTAAATCAATTAACCAGTGGAACAACTTACCTCCAGAAGTTGTGAATTCTCCAACACTGGAAATTTTTAAAGAAGAGATTGGACAATCATTTGTCTGAAATGGTATAGGGTTTCCTGCCTGAGCAAGGGGTTGGTTAGACAACCTCCAAGGTCCCTTCCAACTCTGTTATTCTAATTCTAAATACAGATGATGTCACATTATGATTTAGTACAATGTGTGAACCTATTTTTTCATTGTACATAACTTGTAGTCATTTGTAAGCTAAAATAAAATCTCTTCACCTTAAATTTAACTCCTAGCGACTTGATGGGTGCATTCTCCATAGTTTTCTTAGTAGTAATATGGAAGTGGCTTTTTTTTTGGCTTCCAGTCTAACCTACATTTCTGGGATTTGCTGGGAATCTGATATCCAATTACTTATCACCTTTGATCTTAAATCACTTTTGAGATCAGTTAAGATTGCCTAGCCCTGCAACTGACTGGGGCCATTCTTAACCTACCCAGACCCACAATTTCCAGCATTCAATTGTCAGTAACAGCAGAATCTCTGACTCTGACATGGAAGAAAACTGGGCTCATATCTTTGAGCCATCTAGAATATATTCTACTGATGTACAATATGTTTTAGAAGAAATGAGGATCCTGTTTCTCTGCTATTCACTGGGCCTTTTTAGGATCATTAAAACTGACAGCTGCAACACTCTAGTAAATAGACCATATAATATTCAGTGAACATAAGAGAACAAGAAAAAGAAAAGCATTTTCCTTCGTATTTGTAGGTGATCCAGTCTGCCTTATATAGGATATAAGGGGGCTTTTGCAGCATGTTTTGGTTTAGCATGTTCAGTCATGTCCCAAAGGAAGACTACAATAGTTTGCCACAGCAGCGATTTCTGAGGGGCTGAATACCCTCAACCAGCAATAGAGAACAGGCAATCCCATACGGAAGTGTATTTGTGAATGTGCAAAGATATATTTTGTTTTTTACAGCAGTTTAAACAATCTTGCATATACAATGGTTCAGTGTGAGGAAAGTCTCTTTAAGTACAAGAATGGTTTGTTATCTGCAAGTACAATTATAGCTTCCATGGAGTAGGCAATTCAGAAATCTTATCCAAATGCTAATCCAGGATTAGATTAGGACAAGGCATGCAGGTAAGTGCCCTCATTAGGATATAGTGATGACGCTAGCAAAACTCTGCACCTTCCCAAAGAGGTGTATCATTCTTCTTCTGAGCCTACACCCAAATCCTGTGATGTACTCTCTCCCTTCCAAAGCTTTGCGTATTTATACACAGACAATAGTTGTCTGTGAAACATAACCTTTTCTGTGAGCCCAGAAGGCAACAGATGCTGCTCTTGTTTTACATTCCTCTCTGGAAACAGAGATCTCTGGCCTTGAATAGGGGGGGGGAAATCACTTCCTTGGTTTGATGGAGATCAATTCAGATCATTCATTCCACTTGTATCTGAGAAATAATGGGCATTACTTTGGAGTGGAATGTAAAGGAACTCCAAACCCCCAGCCAAACAATACTGTTTATGCCAAATAGGGGTTATTGTATTGTTCTTCATAACTAGATGCCCATTCTGAAATTGTTAAAACTGTATTTAGAAACCAAGCTAAAACAACTCTAAAAGAAGAGGGGAAAGGGGGGAGATTATAAAGAAAGACTGAAGAATGTAAGCGGTTGAATTTTTTACATGTTCAAGCTGTGTTTCCAACTTGTAGCCATTCTTTAATGAATGTGGCCCAAACCAGGCTCAGCTCCTATAGCTTGATGCTTAAGACACACCCCTCCCTCTAAAATGGGAAGCTTGTGCAAATTTAAGCAAAGTGTCACAGTTCAGAAGCAAAATCAACAATATCTACTCAATTACTATTCTCTTTGTGGGGGGAGAAAAAGGCCCTGTTTAAATTTAAAAAATGTATTCTTGTGCTGCAGATAATTTCAAACAAACTGAGAAATAAAACAATGTACAAAGAAAACTGGTTGAAATGGTATTTATTGCATATTCTGAAGCATCTAGCACAGTGATGGCTAACCGTTTCCGGACCGAGTGCCCAAAGCACCCGAACCCCCCAAAATGCAATGTGCGTGTGGCCCCCGTGCCTGATCTCCACACATGCATGCGTGGCCTCCTGCATGTGGCCCGCCTCCCGTGCATGCATGTTAGATCAATTAACCAATTAACCCCCTCACACATGCTCCTGTGCATCTGCACGCACCCCCCCCCACATGAGGCCCACCCCCACGCATGTGTGGCAGAGACCCGAAGACCAGCTGGCTGGTGGGAGGTGCGCGCGCATGCACAGCAAAGTTGAACTTGGGTGACGGCTTGCATGCCCACAGAAAGGGCACTGTGTGCCACCTCTGGCACACATGCCATAAGTTTACCATCATGGATCTAGCATGCTCACACACATGGCATTGGTACCCTTGCCCTTCCTTGCACTCTCCCTTTTATTATAGACCAAACACCTAAATTAATGCCATAAGCATACATGTAAATTAGTCCAGCCGATAGCGGTTTGGATATACCTACCTCAGCTCACATTTATATAGTCCAAGTTTGCTTTCACACTAATTATTTTCTTTGCAAACTCACTTTTCAAGGAGCATCTGGATTTTCATCTTAGCCATCCCATAGTTTCCATAGTTCCATTTTCAAGTCGGCCCCAAGGATAAAGGATAAATGCAATCCTCTTTCATCCCACTTTGTTGCCAGTATCTGCAACTGAACATATGGGGTGAAGTTTGTAGGAAGCACCTTTTGAATGTTGAGTTCACTGCTCCCTTTAATCCCTAAAAGTTTCTAGGTTTCTCCTATGGCTACTCTCCAGAAATAACAAGGTCTCTATCAGGGGTGGGTTCTACTTACCTTTGCTTACCGGTTTGCAATGGGGCCGCACCCGCGCGTGAGCGAAGCAAGTGTGCATGACGTCCAGGTCAGTGGGCAGAGCCTCCTGGTTTTACTACTGGTTCTATAGAACCGGTGCGAACCGGGGGCAACCCACCACTGGTCTCTATTGTAGAACATCTTCCCAAATTGGGCAATGACACATTATTTTGGGACTCGGGGGATATGAGCAGCAAATAGTTATAGCCCACCTGGTCTTGTGGTGGAGTTAAAAAAAAGTCTGCTTCTCCATTTTTAAAAAAATAATACTATTTATAATATGTCAGTGTTGTCTGCTGCTGACATTGAGAGATGGCAGCTAACAACTGTAGGCAGGAGAACAACTTTGGTGCACAACTTTGTAATGTGTACCAATTGCACCCATACCTGGATTGAGGGGCCTTACTCACTGTTATTCCTGCCTCCTGGTTGCTTGTTGCAATGTGCACTACATGGGCTGCCCTTGAAGGCACCCCAGAAGCTACAATTTATCCTGAATGTAGTGGCAGGATATTTATGGGTATACCGCTATATGCGTACAGTGTAATACATTACTTTGCAAGCTGCACTGGCTGTCTGTAATCTGCAATTCAAGGTCCTATTTATCACCATGAAGTCTTACAAGGCCTGGGGAATCACCGCCAATGCTATTGGATTGTTCCACATGTCTAACAGGGTGGGTGTGCCCAGGGTTCTTCCCTAAAACTATACCATCTGCCAAGACTAGGAGGTATGTCTTTTCTGTTCCGGGCACCTGCCTTCTGGAATGATCTTCACTCTGACATTTATTTGGTCCCAACCACAGTGGCCTTTACAAAGGCAGTAAAAATCTCCTCAGGTGTTAGGGTCAGGATGACTGGAGTTCTCATTTGGAGGATGACAAGAAATTGTCAATTCCTGATCACAGCTAACACAGCCATGGTGTTAGAGGCACAAGAGGAGGGTTATCTCCTATCTTGAGAATTCAGGATTTGAGGATTTGAGTGGTGGTGGTGCAGTGGTTGAATGCAGTACTGCAGGGTACTTCTGCTGACTGCCAGCTGCCTACAATTTGGCAGTTTGCATCTCACCAGGCTCAAGGTTGACTCGTCCTTCCATCCTTCCGAGGTGGGTAAAATGAGGACCCAGATTGTTGGGGGCAATCTGCTGTCTCTGTAAACCGCTTAGAGAGGGCTATAAAAAGCATTGTGAAGCGGTATATAAATCTAAGTGCTATAGCTATTGCTATTGAGAATTCAGGAAACTTCAAAAATCTCCTAAAACAGAAGTGGACAACATGAAATTGTGCTAGCTATGCAAAAACTCATAATTTCACTTAGTTTGGCAATCTCAAGAGATGCTTTTTCCAGGTCAGATAAGCTTGGGATAAATTCTTCTTTTAAGTTTGGAAGGGGTGTTCTGATTTTATTTCCAAGTGCAATTAGAACAGATTATATTCGGTAGCTAAAGGAACAATTCTCAGTAGAAAATGAAGAGGGGAGGGGAAATCTTTGGTTGTAGTTAAAAAAAAAACCTGGCTGGAAAATCAGTGAATGTAATAATAATAATAATAATAATAATAAAAAACTCCACACATTTTCTGAATCAATTGCATCCTCTGGGCTGCATTCCAGTTTCGGTCATAAATCAATGAGCCTTAAGTTAGTTATGACGTAAGTGCTATTATTTCAATGAGTGTACTCTAAAAGTCTCTAAATATAGAATTAGACTTCTCTCTCTGGTAATGGCTGTCCAGACTGATCACTGTCAGAGTCTACTACCTTAGATGACTTGACTGGAAGGACATTGGTGCTAGCCACTTCTCTTATGCTATGAATCACTGTAACTTGGTAACCTGTCTTTAATGAACCTTATTTCGGAGATAATTTTTTATTTTACTTTCCAGGTCCTTTGCTTGGCATTTTGTACTTTCAGTGATCCTGGTATTGTAATGGAGCCCACTGTCTGGCTGCAGTCTGGCCAGTCTTCCATATTTTTAAAAAATCTGCTTTGAGTAGCCAGGCAATTGAATTAGTTACCATTTAAATTTCTTGCATTGTCTCCAATGACACATTGGAAAATTAAAATTGTGGCCAATTCTAATCCATGGTATAATTTGGAGTTCATAAGCATGCCCGTCCATCCTGGAGAAGAGAGAGGACTATTAAAGCAACTGCTTTAATAAAAGCAAGTGGCCTAAATAGGAGAATGAACAATGTTTATCATATGCTACCAAAAATGGCTACCAACCTGCCTTCCATTGAGGACCTGTAAACTGCACAAGTCAAAAAGAGGGCTGTGAAAATATGGACATAAACTGTTCTAACTCCTACCCTCAAAACAACACTATAGAGAACTGCACACCAGAACAACTAGACACAAGAACAGTTTTTTCCCGAATGCCATCACTCTGCTAAACAAGTAATTCCCTCAACACTGTCAAACTATTTACTAAGTCTACACTACTATTAATCTTCTCATTTTATCATTCCCATCACCCATCTCCTCCCACTTATGACTGTATGACTGTAACCTTGTTGCTGGTATCCTTACGATTTGTATTGATATTGTTTCCTGATTGCTTATTTGTACCCTATGACTATCATTAAGTGTTGTTACCTTATGATTCTTGATGAACGTATCTTTTATTTTATGTACACTGAGAGCATATGTATTGGACACACAATCACACTTGGCCAATAAAAATTCTATTCTATTCTATTCTATTCTATTCTATTCTATTCTATTCTATTCTATTCTATTCTATTCTATTCTATTCTATTCTATTCTATTCTATTCTGACATGATCTGGTTTCTACTTTGCTGTTCGGTTTTATGCAGTTAATTATTTACTGTATTCTTTATTTTTCTAACTAATTTTTTTAGTACAGATAGTCCTCGACTTACAACAGTTCATTTAGTGACCGTTCTAAGTTACAAAGGCACTGAAAAAAGTGAGTTGGAACCATTTTTCACACTAATGACCATTGCAGCATTCCCATGGCCACGTGATTTACATTCAGATGCTTAACACATGGTTCATATTTATGACTGTTGCAATATCCCGGGATCATTTGATCATCTTTTGCGACCTTCTGACAAGCAAAGTCAATGAGGAAGCCAGATTCACTTAACAATAGTTTGACTAATTTAACAACTGCAGTGATTCACTTAACCAATGTGGCAAGAAAAGTCGTAAAATGGGACAAAACCCACTTAACAAATTTCTCACTTAGCAACATAAATTCTGAGCTCCGTTGTGGTTGTATGTCGAGGACTACCTGTATTCTTAATGTAGACTTTCCCACCTTGGAATATTTCAGATGTGCCCAGATCACAGTTTCCACATGGTTCAGGCAGCAGAAGAAAAATTGAGAAAGACCGATGTATGTCAATTTGAATTGCACAGCCAGAATATAACTCATTAACAGAAAAAGGTTTTTTGCATCATAGTATTCCCTTATGACAATGTGGATGAATTATCAAAGGAAATCTGCATTCCACATTGATTTAGTGATAAATCAGTATATAAGCAGATTCATCATCAAAGAAGAATTTTTATCCGTATACGTGAGAATCCAATATGCAGAGAACAGTTTGCTTTTGTCTGTGCAACATACGGTAAGTACAGAAAATGACAAAACATTTGTCACATATCCCATGTTACATCACTATTCTATGAGCTGCACTGGCTGCCAGTTTGCTTCTGGGTCCAATTCAAGGTGTTGATTATCACCTTTAAACTAGTGGTGAAATTCATTTTTTTTTACTACCGGTTCTGTGGGCTTGGCTTGGTGGGTGTGGTGAGGCTTAGTGGGTGTGGCTTGGTGGGCATGGCAGGGGAAGGATACTGCAAAATCCCCATTCCCATCCCACTCTAGGACCAGCCAGAGCTGGTATTTGCCGGTTCTCCAAACTATTCAAAATTTCCACTACCGGTTCTCTAGAACCTGTCAGAACCTGCTGGATTTCACCCCTGCTTTAAAGACCTTCATTACATGGCATGGGTTTGGCTCACTCTGATGGGATTAGCCTGCCTCACTTGTGAATTTCAGTCAAGGAATTTCGGCAGGCAGGATCTAGAAGAAGAGCCTTTTCT